TAAAAGGGTTCCTAGATCTTTACAAAGTACAAGGCAGACCAAATTGTTCACAAAATGATCCTAGATCTTTACGATTTTGAGTTTTTTCTTTTGCAAGTTGACGTTGGATTTTATCATCTTGACAAATTTTTAAAGCTACCTTTTGGATATAAGCAACTAATTGTCCATAACTTAATTGCTCATAAGGGATATCTCCAGTTAGAGATTGATGACGGATTTTATCCCTAACTTTGTCTCCTAAAGATTTTGGTAGACCAGCTAAGAATTTTTCTTTCCAGAAAGGTTGTTGACTATCATCTCGAGTGTAAACCCTAGTTAGGAAGGTATCTTTATACCAGCGAAAGTCACCTAAGGTTCTACATTTAAGATTGGATAGGAGTTCAGCAGAACGATCTTTCCATAAGGATGGATCACCAATGAAATGTTGGATAATGGTGAAGATTAATTGATTAACAGCATCTGGAATAGTTTTTCCATCAGAGACTATAGGAATGCCATCAGGATCAACTTTAATGGCATTAAGAACAGAATTTTTTTCATCTTTAGAAAGATAATTATCCCACCAACCTTTGAGTTGACCAGAGAAGCCAGAGACAATAATATTGACTATAATTGCTTCAGAACAATTATGAGAAGTTTGATAGGCAGTTGCAACCATAGTCATATGGTGCATTATATTGAGTATGTTATACTCTGATTGTCCATCTATGTTCCATTCATAGACGTTGTTACCATTAAAACTTTTGAAACTTGTATTCTTTTCTTAGAGTAGAAGATCAGGAGCAGTTGCTTTTTGGTAATAAAGTTTGGAAGGGTTTCTCCAATTATTAATACCAGTTATAGGATTAATTTTAATTTCAGATTTGTTATCTGACTCAGGAGATTCATCATAATGATTCAGAGTATTGATAGTTTTTGACCGAGTGTTATGTTTATGAGACTGTTGAGTCTCTTAATCAGAATGTTGTGGGGTATCAGGAATGGTTAATGTACTTAACTTCTCATCAATTTTTTTAAGAAATTCATCCTGAGACTGAGATTGTGATAACAACACTGGATATATATCCAGTGTTGTTAACCTATGTTCTTCAATATATATATATATATATATATATATATATATATATATATATATATATATATATAAGGATAGGATCCGTTTACAATTTTTTTTTGCAAATTACACTAAGTACGACCGGTCGTACAATGCATGAGTAAAGTATGACCTGTCGTACCTAGTGTAGTTTGTAAGCAAAAAGTTTGCAAATATAACCTGCCCCACACACACACACACACACACACATATATATATATATGGTGGTATCTTTTGACACAATGTCAAATTTAAAGTTTGACACCTCATTTGAAAGCCATTAGATAAAAAAAGATCAACAATTTAGATTTGTAAACATGTAATATCATTGATTTTTTTTTATCTAACAGCTCTGAGATGAGGTGTCAAACTTTAAATTTGACACCGGTGTCAGAAGATCCTGCCCCTATATGGGATATGATCAACTTACACCGGTGTAAGAATAATAAATCTTACACCAAATCTCAACAATTGATTTCCGGGCATCCAACGGTTGAGATTTATTGGGAATTAAAAATTAATTAATGAATGAAACCTAATAAATCTTATCCGTTAGATGCATAAAATCAACGGTTAAGATTTGATGTAAGACTTATTATTCTTATACCGGTATAAGATGATCCTGCTCATATATATATATATATATATATATATATATATATATATATATATATATATATATATATATGGGGTATGATCCTTCGATACCAGTGTCAAATTTGAAGTTTGACATCTCACCTGAGAGCCGTTAGATCAAAAAAGATCAATGGTGTCACATGCTTACAAATCAGAGTCGTTGATCTTTTTTGATCTAACGGCTCTCAGGTGAGTTGTCAAACTTCAAATTTGACAATGGTGTCAAAGCAGTGTTATTAAAGCAACGGACCGGCCATGCATCAGAACCGGTGTGATCCGGTCCGATCGGCCGGTTTTCATGAAAACCGATGACCCGGCCCGGTCCCAAAAAAATTCCAAATTTTTTTTCAAAAAAAATAAAATCATAATGGACATATTTAAATATATTTATTTCTTATTAACTTACATAAGCTATGTACCTACAACACTAATATTATCTTAATTATGCACTATGCAGAAAATTTTGATTTGATTTATAGTTAGAGATGTCATTTTCTTAACCTAAAGCCCCGTATCACGATCATTATATTTTTGTTTGATCTTTTATTGTATAATAATATGTGATTTATTCTTTTTTATATTAAATTTTTTTAATTTTTTTGTCATTTTTTCTTAGATATTTAAGTGTGTTTATAATTTTTTAATATAAATTATAAAATTGCATATAATTACCGGGTCATGCGGTTGAACCAGTAACTCACTGGTTGAACCAGTGACCCAGTACCTCGACCGGGTCAATGACCGAGCCGATTTTAATAACACTGTGTCAAAGGATTCTACCTATATATATATATATATATATATATATATATATATAAAGGAATACCTATATAAAGGAATACCTACTCGGTGTCCTTGCCACCGAGTATGCCTCTTATTTTATCAAAGGAATAACATGCTTTACTAAATTAGTTATTAATTTTGTTAACAATAAAATTGTATACGTACCAAGTGTGGTAGCTCAGTTGGTAGCACGAGGACTGAGTGGTGGGAGAGGACATCGGTTCGAATCCCACCAACACCATTTGGGGAGGGGCATAAGTAACGTAATCCTTGGACTCGCAGCCGAACTCTGGATTAGTCCCATAGGCGGCTCAAAGAGTCGAACCCGTGGGATACCAAGTGTTCTGATTCGCCTCAAAGAGGTAATTAGGATCAGTTTCAAAAAAAAAAAAATTGTATACGTCAATGTCGTCGCTATTTTTTATGGAAAATATTAACCTCAAGTCACATTAGACAATAACTCTCTCTTTTACACTCAAAAAGATATGGGTCCCACTTCAATTTTTTTTCTCTTGTCCTGTGCAATGGGACTCACATAAAATTGTGAGTGCAACATGAGATAAATATCTCCTTTTGCATAAGAAAATATAATCTTTTTTTATTATTAGTGTCAATTCAAGGTATTTCTGGGATTGTATTTCATCATCCTTAGGTAGGAATTCTTAGTCAGCCTCTCACGTTATTTGTTAAATACTCAAAATATTATTTAATACGTATAAATGATTTTAAAAATATCTATATTTTTATAATTACCTCCATTATGTTATACATCTCAAATACTGATTTGATTGTAATGCTTCACCAAGAATGCATGGAAAATTTATTGTAATGGCACATATATGGTTGGGGAGCAAACCGTATTTATGAATGATAGCCCCACTTTAAATACAAATTTGGATGATTTAATTATAGTGTTTCACTTAGAATTACTTCATTCTTCTCTCCACTGTGAGCTTATCTCCAGTATCCTAGTCGTAGGTTTTTTTTTTTTATCAAAGAATAGAAAAAAAATTTATATAAAATTATTCATAAAAAAGATGATAAATATGTTATTTTTTATCAAATGATAGTAACCCAGTTGGTGTTAGGAAATTGAGCAGGTGGAGTGGAGTGAGAGCATGTGTTCGATCCTTTTCCATACTATCTTTGGAAGAGATTTAAAGCTTTAATCTCGGGATTCGCCCCGAATCGAACTAGTCACGCAGTGATGAATCGATAGGAATATTTTCAATATATATATATATATATATATATATATATATATATCTATTATTTTTTCAATTTTAATAAGTAGAGTACCAAATTTTAATAATAAATAAAAATAAATGCTTTAATAAGTATATTTACAATACTAATTATCAAAACTATTTGATTAAAAAATTCTGAAAAATACTTTTTTTTTTAATAATTAGCGAGGCTATAGATTGGGCATATATTGATTTATCCTCAGAAAATACAAGTTATCCCCGCCAAAACAAAAAAAAATGACATGGATATTCCTTGCATTGTTGGCCTTCGAATCCATGCCCACCTACTTATTGAATGTCCATCAATGGCTAACTCACTGAGGTGGTGTTTGGTTGACGGTTTCTTCTAGCTTGCCTATGCAAATGAAGCAAGCAATTCAGAAAGCATGCGTTTGGTTCAACAGATTCACTCAAAATTCCCAGCCATCCTATTTGCAGTGCATTTCCAATTTGGTCTTCGAATGATATAGAAAGAGTTGTGGGAGGTGGTTTTATGTGAAAAACCGGTAAACCACTTTTTGACAATTTCTTTAGACCATTATAGCCTATGCTTTCTTCTTGTCCAACTCCAGCAGTAATGAAGATATTGGTGATTTTGTGTCCACAAAATTTAGCAACCACTCTACTGATGACTCTTCGTACATGTCAAGGTCGAGTTGCTCTTTAGCCTCTAGAGCTTCCTCCCGCTCTTCATTGAACAAGGTAGCATAAGGATCTAATTTCCTGTCCTTGTCTTTTCCAAGAATATGAAGCATCGCTGGGGAGGAAACACCATGGCCTTGGTGTTGATGTCGCTCAGGTTTAGGTTAGGACAGCTTTGCTTCTTCCTTCGTTGGCTATTAGGATTGAGACGATAATAACTTTTGTGATTTGAAGATGGCTGGTTCGGTGGTCCGATGGTGGTTGTGAGTAAGGGTTGGACCGATTTGGTGAGGGAGGTTGTGGACGGTGACTGTAACATCCCCGTCTCGAGCCGGTTCAATTAACATACATATGATACAAACAGAAACAGCGGAAGACTTAACTTACGAAAATACGAACTAACTTTTTCTTTTTCTTTAATCCTTTTTCACATGACATATCACATTGCATACTTCTTCTAATTTAATTCTTATTTTACGGAGACGTAAATCGGACAACTGGGGATTTTCCAATCCCACTCTCAAGAGTTCCTGATAGACAGTTTAAACAATATATATTTCCAGAAGTACCAGTCATGTAAATATACTCAGATACCCATCTATGGGCGCATGCTGAACTTGGCTTCGTGCCACAAATCTAATAGCATGCAATCCAATACATAACATAATTGAATACTACATAGTCATATCATCATGCCTGAATACATAAATGTACATGTATCGAATATGAACACTATGCAACAATACATCTTTTCCAAAAATACGTCTAAAACAAATAGTAGCATCCGACCACCCAGAACTCCACATCCTCATACTAATGCCTCTAGCCACGGTTAGTGTCCTGGTCCCATGAGGCTCTTCAATTAACTGTGTTCCTGAAATCATATCCCCAAACGGGGTTAGAGACGAATCTCTAGTAAACTCCAGGTTTATGGAAAACCCTCCATACCCTGGGCTCACTTCCTGCATGACAGTCAGATACATAATATACAAAATCATCATACATATCCCATAAAACATGTCATATAATCAAATATCATAACTAAACAAAACATATACACATATCTTATCAGAAACGTACGCAGTTATTCTCAAGGGAGGACCCCAAGCGGAAATCAACGCACGTGTTACCGAGGGAGGACCCCAAAGCGGAACCAGAACATATCAGAGGCGTACGCAGTCATTCCCAAGGGAGGACCCCGAGCGGAAATCAACGCACGTGTTCCCGAGGGAGGACCCCAAAGCGGAACCAGAACATATCAGAGGCGTACACCATCAGTCCCGAGGGAGGACCCCAAAGCGAACATTCGGGTACTATACAATCAATGGCCAGATATTGTTGCAGAAATCATATTACAGAAGTCATATCATAATAAAACATATCATATTAACACATATCAAAGTAAGTACATCAAAACAAAACATATCATATTATCATATAGCTCTATATGAATGCATCTATATCATATATCTCATACATATCATACAACCTGACCACAGTCCGTACACTATGGCGGAACACAAAGTAGGAGCGAACCCCATAAACATAGAGCTTACCCCTTGAAGCTTTTTCAATCCGCTTACTTGTGGCACAAGTTAGTTATATATCTTCAAGAAGGTTCCGATCTTTTTCAGTCCCTAGGTACACCTAGAGAAAGAATACAAAAATACAAATCAATAAAATGCTATCATGCCTAGATTTTACATAAGGCATACATTTTATCGTTTATTTTCATTTCTTTACGTTTTTGCCAATCCTATGCCAATACACTAGTCATAACCAATTCTTTTCAAACTTACATATAGGAACCCAAAGCTTGTTAGCATAAAACCACTAACTCTTAGTGGACATTTCTCACTTTACATATACTTATCATGTCCTCAACATAACTTACAAGTCATAATTCCAAGTCCAATACAATTCCAACCCATTTACTTCTTTAAGGGTTGAAAATGACATATAGGTGTGTTCATGACTTTTTCTCAAGCTATCTTTTGTTAGCAACCATTCCCTTCATCACTACATCGAATACCCATCATCATCTCTTATTTAAATATCACTAAATACCTCATTTGTACTTATTTCATGATGAGGGCAGATTTGCACTCATAAGTATTTATTATCTTTTCATGCTTTTCTTTCCTTTATTTCTCACTACACAACTCCAATTAAGTAGATAATTATTAACCAACCTTAAGACACATAAACACACATTCAAACATATTAAAGCATGATATTCCTCATTATTTTTCCTCTTGACTAGAATACATATATATAGGAACCATGTCTTTTTCTTTAACTTTCACCACTTTTACCAATCCTATTTCACACCACTTATCAATGATTACATACAAGGTATTATTTTCACTTTGGCATTTCATTAAACACTTGGTCTACCTATTTTATTGTACATAGGCTGAATTATACATTAGAGATAGGCCATCCATTTTCTCAATGATTTTTCAACTATTACCAACAACAAGGCTCAATGAACAACTTCTACAACAACATACACATTCATACATCATTTACAAAACCTCCATGAAACCATAAAACATCAAGAAAAACCTAAATAGCATCTTGAATTTTAATCAACCAAATTCAAGTTTCATGCCTTAAATGATCTCCTAGGGATCTAAGCTTCCATCTCAAAGCTTGAAAACGTTAAAATACACTCTCTTTAATTTCGCATGAACAGTACCTGCGATTTAGAAGGCTGAAATCTCCTTCCCAAGAGCTTCCCATGGTGAACAATCTTATGGGTTTTGTAGAGGATGAAATTTGACACACTTTAGGCTTTGGAATGGATTGATTTCATCAATCCTAACTCAAGTTATCAAGGATTGAAGCTCCCACAAGCTTTTCTCTCTTTTTTTCTCCCCTTCCCTCTTTACTCTCTGCATCGTTGTGTGGAGAAGAAGAATACGAGCCTTTTAGTCAAATTTCACTTACATAGGTTAAGTGAAATTTAACTGGGTAAGAGCTTATCTATCTAATCACCTCTATTCTTTACCAAACGTTACCCAATGGACTAGAATATTTTTCCTGTCATATTTCTAACTTTACTTTCACTTTTCAAGTAACTTTGCTAACCTGCATTTTTACCCCTTAACTGTCATTTTAACTCATTTTTTCACCAAAGGTGACTTTATTTCTTTTTCTTTATAATTATCCTTCAATATTAAATCCATAATAACTGTGAGGGTCATTATAGTGACTTTCCTTTATTTTTTTTTATCGGAATGCCATGTTTAAGAAACTATTATTAGTCTCAGCGGATTTAGTTTACCATGTATCGTGCATCCATGGATTCACGGGACAGGTCCAACAGATTCTTGTCCGTGTGATATAAGACAAACATGACCCGCTGTGAGTGAAAACGACTCCTGAAATATGGCATTCGGATAAAAAAATTTCAGAATCATGGCATCTTTATAAATAATTTTGCAAAATGTAACAAACGAGTTGTCATACCAAGTATCCATTCTTCCTTGAGGGTATTATCAACTAGTTCAGAATCAACGAAATTCATGGTGAAATTTTCCATCTAATGGAGCGCTCTTGTGCCAAAAATGAATGGGGCTAAGCGATATGCTAAAGCTATCTTCTATCCTGAGATGTAGATCATCCAAGGCATATTAGTATGACGTACTTTTCCTTATCGGGACCAAATATGAAAATAAAATAAAATAACACATGTATATGACCATTATTTTTATGATTATTTCCTTTATATATAGGGTTATACTTATCTCATTTTGCATGAGAGAAACAACTTTCTTAGATACACAAAAGAGGGGTGAGTCTCACCTCTCTTTTTTCTCTCTCCTCTTACCGGTGGGTTCCGCTTGTATTTTTGTTTCTAAAACATGAGATAATTATTTTCCTACAACATAAGAAAATTATTTTCCATATGTATATATATATATATATATATATATATATATATATATATATATATATATATATATATATATATATATATATATAGGGATATGATTCCTTTACAAACTTTTTTTGCAAATTACACTAAGTACGACCGGTCGTACGATGCATGATTAAAGTATGACCGGTCGTACTTAGTGTAGTTTGTAAACAAAAAAGTTTCGAAATATAACCTGTCCCATATATATATATATATATATATATATATATATATATATATAGGGTAGGATCCTTTGACACAATGTCAAATTTAAAGTTTGACACCTCATCTGAGAGCCATTAGATAAAAAAGATCAACAATTATGATTTGTAAGCATGTAATACCAGTGATCTTTTTTGATCTAAGGTCTCTGAGATGAGGTGTCAAACTTTAAATTTGACACCGGTGTCAGAAGATCCTGCCCCTATATGAGGTAGGATCCTTTGACATCAGTGTCAAAGTTGAAGTTTGACACCTCACCTGAGAGCCGTTAGATCAAAAAAGATCGATGGTGTCACATGCTTACAAATCAGAGTCGTTGATCTTTTTTGATCTAACGGCTCTCAGGTGAGTTGTCAAACTTCAAATTTAACAATAATGTCAAAAGATCCTACCTATATATATATATATATATATATATATATATATATATATATATATATATATATATATATATATATATATATATATATAAAGGAATACCTACTCGGTGTCCTTGCCACCGAGTATGCCTCTTATTTTATCAAAGGAATAACATGCTTTACTAAATTACTTATTAATTTTGTTAACAATAAAATTGTATACGTCAATGTCGTCGCTATTTTTTTATGGAAAATATTAACCTCAAGTCACATCAGACAATAACTCTCTCTTATACACTTAAAATGATATGGGTCCTACTTCAATTTTTTTTCTTTTTCTGTGCAATATGACCCACATAAAATTGGGAGTGCAACATGAGATAAATATCTCTTTTTGCATAAGAAAATATAATTTTTTTTATTATTAGTGTCAATTCAAGGTATTTCTGGGATTGTATTTCATCATCCTTAGGTAGGAATTCTTAGTCAGCCTCTCACGTTATTTGTTAAATACTCAAAATATTATTTAATACGTATAAATGATTTTAAAAGTATGTATATTTTTATAATTACCTCCATTATGTTATATATCTCAAATAATGATTTGATTGTAATGCTTCACCAAGAATGCATGGAAAATTTATTATAATGGCACATATATGGTTGGGGAGCAAACCGTATTTATGAATGATAGCCCCACTTTAAATACAAATTTGGATGATTTAATTATATTGTTTCACTTAGAATTACTTCATTCTTCTCTCCACTGTGAGCTTATCTCCAGTATCCTAGTAGTAGTTTTTTTTTTTTTTTTATCAAAAAATATAAAAAAAAATTATATAAAATTATTCATAAAAAAGATGATAAATATGTTATTTTTTATCAAATGATAGTAGTCCAGTTGGTGTTAGGAAATTGAGCAGGCGGAGTGGAGTGAGAGCATGTGTTCGATCATTTCCCATACTATCTTTGGAAAAGATTTAAAACTTTAATCTGGGGATCCGCCCCGAATCGAACTAATCACGAAGCAATGAATCGATAGGAATATTTTCAATATATATATCTATTATTTTTTCAATTTTAATAAGTAGAGTACCAAATTTTAATAATAAATAAAAATAAATGCTTTAATAAGTATATTTACAATACTAATTATCAAAACTCTTTGTTTAAAAAATTCTGAAAAATACTTTTTTTTAATAATTAGCGAGGCTATAGATTGGGCATACATTGATTTATCCTCAGAAAATACAAGTTATCCCCGCCAAAACAAAAAAAAATGACATGGATATTCCTTGCATTGTTGGCCTTCGAATCCATGCCCACCTACTTATTGAATGTCCATCAATGGCTAACTCACTGAGTTTCTAAATAATGAAGTTTCCCCTTCATATCTCCCCTTTAGGAACTTAAATGTAAGTCTGCAGAATTTTAATGTACATTTTATTTTGGAAATATTAATATACAATTTAGTTATGATTCAAAAATAGAGTTTTTCAATTTTTTAGTTAACCTCATCCTAATTATCTCTTTTATGCGAGTTGGTTCCTCCGGTGTTCTTACAAATTTTGACTGTTTGAGCTGGTTATGAGACTAATTTGGAGTGCGAGATAGGTCAAGGACGAATATATTTAAATTTCACATAAAGGTGATAGTGGGAATCGAACCAAGACCCTTTACTTTTTAATTACTCAACTCACTTGCTACCAGCTGAGCTAACCATCGTTTGATAAAATAAAGATAGTTTCGATCTAGTATGACATTTTTTTTCTTCTAAATTGTCATCCAATTAATACTAAATCATCTAAGAAGTTTGACTTAAATTTAACCTTTTAATGATATATTATTACATTATTTGATAATAAAGTAAAAAAAAAATGTTATAATGACATGGGTGATATTTAAACCTTTTAAAAATAATTTATATAAAAAAATATAATTAAATATTACTCTCTTTTAATATTTGCAATTGGTCTAAATTTGTTTCTTCTCTAAATTTTCTTTGGAAATTGCGGTTTTTTCTTTTGTGTCAACAAAACAAAATACATAATAAATTAATAATTTAGGAAAGTATTTTTCATTCTTTTCTCATGACAAATTAAATACTACTTTAAAGACAAATCCCCGTTTGTTTGTGTTTTTAAAAGAAATTTTTTAATACATTTATAAAATAAAAATAATTACATAAGTTTTCTTATAAAAAAATCTTAAAAAAAGGTTTCAGTATTATTTTTAAGAAAAAATAATAAAAAAGTTGTATCATAAAAATGCTCCTTTTTTTTTTTGAAGTTATCCAAATGAATAGTTTCGTTATATAACGCTGATTACATCAATTAATTGACATCATGATATAATGCAATAATATTTTTGTGTCTATTTTTTATTCTTCGCCAGTGTATATTTAACACTTTACGCATACATAAAATCACACTCATTTATTTATCAATAGATTTACATTAATATCATACAATATTTTCATATCAAATTCTGCATAAAATCTTATGGTTTTACATATTTGTTATCTTATTTCTCTTCTTATAAATGTTGTTCATATAGCATTATGCTTCATCCCTTCATACAAGTTCTTGATTGCATGTAGTTTGTTGACCACCGCAACCATTGGCAATCGTTCATTTGGTAGAGTTACAGAGCAAGAGACTCCAATTTGCATCAATGAAACAATGCAATCCTCCATGAAACCTTTGTCCTTGGCTTCAATCTCGTAGTTCCTTCTTATAGCTTTTTCTTCTTCAAATTCTTGATCTTCTTCACCACAGTTTTGTTCAAAGACCAGTAATGAAGGATCAATTATGTCCATGACATGGTTAGGTAAAGCCATTGATATAAACTGATGAATTCCCATGCCACCTTCAAATGCTTCATCTGTTGGTCTTTTACCTGTGAAAATCTCCAGTAATAGTATCCCATAACTGTAGATATCTCCAAGTGTAGAAGGCTTGTCACACATGCCATACTCTGCATTTCACTTATACGTGAGTCATTTTTGTTAAACATAACCTACAATTTTAGCACCATTGAAGTGAGAAACATATATACCTGGAGGAATATATCCAATAGAACCCCTTAATCTAGCTGATATAATTGATTGTGAGGAAAAATTGCTTGTTTCTTCAAACAGAAATGTGGCTAATCCAAAGTCACCAACATGAGCAACCATATCATTGTCAAGAAGAACATTGCTTGGCTTTATATCACAATGAACAATTGGAATTTCACAGGAGTGGTGGAGATATTCCAGTGCACAAGCAACATCAATTGCTATGTTCAGTCTTTGGATAAATGACAATGTCTTGGTTTGATATTGCACATTATTCATAGGATGCAACCAATCTTCTAGACTTCCATTAGACATGAACTCAAAGATTAGAGCTTTGAAGTCATTACCTTGAGGATCAACACTTGATATGGCAGTTATGATCTTGAGAAGGTTGCGATGCCTTATACTTCTCAGAACTTTGCATTCATCAATGAAGCTCCTTGAAGCTCCTCTTTGTTGAAGATTTAACACCTTAACTGCAACTGTTGATCCATCACCTGAAAGAGTTCCTTTGTATACAGAACCAAAACTTCCTGAGCCAATAAGGTTTTCCTGAGAGAACCCACCAGTGCACTTTGCAATTTCTGAGTAAGAAAGTTGCAATTCCAAATCCTTTGCATTTGTCGATATAGAAGTTTTCTTTCTTGCTTTCTTTACTTTTGGGAAGAATGTAAGAAAGCATGATAGAAAGAGTATAAATGCAAGTGAACTAGCTATAGGGATAGCCACCTTGGGGGCAAGAAGTTTTCTTAATAGAGAGGCTTTCATGCTGCGGCATGCAGGAAACTTCAATTCTGGGACACCACCGCATAGCTTGCTGTTTCCATATAATGAAATGGCAGTTGAATTCATGAAGATTCCATTCTTTGGTATTTCCCCTTCAAAGTCATTGAAAGAAAGATTGAGATGCTTGAGCTCTTTGAACTCACCAAGAAATTCAGGAATCTTACCAGACAATCTATTATGTGAAAGATCTATATCATATAAACCTCTCAAATTTTTCAAAGTTTGAGGAATGTTTCCCTCAAAAGAGTTACCCTGCAAATGCAACCTTTCCAAGCTAATACAGCTGCCAAGAGAAGATGGAATGACTCCAGAGAAATTGTTCTCAGACAGCACCAACTCTCCAAGATTATGTAGATTACTCACTTCAGCTGGCAGAGTCCCTGATAGAGCATTATGAGACACATCCAAATATATTGCTAGTGAGGAAAGGCTAAGGGCTTCTTTTGGTATGGTGCCACTAAGCTTGTTACTGTAAAGGCTAAGTACCAATAACTTCTGGCATTTTCCAAGACTAGAAGGTATGCTTCCCTCAAAGTTGTTCTCCTCCATAAAGAGTTTTGTTAATGACGATAAATTTCCTAAGGAGGATGGTATCCTTCCAGAAAATTTGTTGCCATTCAGATACAACATTTGAAGACTTTGAAGCATGCCTAATGCATCAGGAACACTACCAGTTAGGAGGTTTCCTTCCAATCCTAGAAGGGCCAGGTTAGCAAGATTGCTGATCCCAGCAGGTATATTTCCATGAATTCCATTGGAACCAATGGTAAATCTGTGCAATTGGCTTGAGAAATTAGCTATTGAGTTAGGCAACTCTCCTCCAAAACTATTTCGAGCAAGACCCAAAACTTCAAGAGCAGTACAATTAACCAAGGAAGAAAGAAAATTCAGGTTACCAGCTTTCCCAGTTCCAAGTCTATTGTCATCAAAATTGAGTCTTTTTAAATGGGGCAATCTTCCTATGTTCTTAGGAAGTGAGCCAGTGAGAGCATTTTCAGCAAAGTCAAGAATTTCTAGTCTTGATGCATTTGAAAGAGATTCAGGAATTGTTCCCGTGAAATTGTTGACTCCACCAGCAAACACTTCAAGGTTAGGAAGAGTAAATCCAACATCAGCTGGTAAGTTTCCATGGAGATTGTTTTGAGAAAAAGTGAGATAGTATATGGAAGAAATGTTATAGATTGATGAAGGAACTGTGCCAGACAAGTAATTCCCATAAACTACAAGAAATGTCAAGCTTGATAAAAGGCCTATCTCAGGTGGTATGTTTCCATGCAAGTTGTTCACTGCAAAGTTAATATAAGACAAATAAGAAAGATTTCCTATCCAAGTTGGAATTGTTCCTGTAAGATTGTTACCACCTGCTGCTAGCATACTTAGTTCTGTACAGTGATTGAGACTACCTGGAATGCTCCTACCAAAGTTGTTGAGGCTGAAGATTAGACGTTTCAGGTATAGTAAATTTCCTACTTCTTGAGGAAGTTCACCATGGAAATTATTATTTTGCAAGTTGAGTGTGGTGAGGAATGTGAGGTTTCCAATAGATGGTGTAAGAGTGCCTCCAAGTCTCTGTTGTTCAAGGCTCAGGTTCATGACCCTTCCATTGGTGATGTTGCAGGTGATTCCTATCCAATTGCAATGATGGATGGAGTCATTCCAAAAACTCATGATGTGTAATGGATCTTCAACTATCTTATTCTTGAAGTCAAGTAAAGCATGAAGATCAGTTTCATTTCCTGATGGGGTTGCTACTGTTGCTATGAACAAGCTTGAGATCATGCATAATAAAAGAAAACCATTAAGGATTTGTTGAAATAGGCTCTTGGAGTTTGCACAGGGATGGTTCATATTTTAAGTTCAAAATTTTGATGTCAACTATTCATGTTTTGATTACATTTTAAAGGGATCATATACAAATAATGTAACTGATTAAAAGAAAAAAAAAAAAAGAGATTGGAATAACAGGTAAGAAAATCCACTCTTATTTAAGATGAAAAGAACTGATCAGTTATTGTCATTTATTTTGATATATATGTTACACCAGTCTCCAGAAACTAATTCATGACACTGAGCTGTATGTTTGGTAAGCAAACAACTTGCAACTTCCCCCCTCTCTTTTTTTGTTTGTTTGTTTGTTTTTTTAATAAACGTAACTTTCCCCCTTTTTTATGTAATTTTAATTATAATTTAACTTAATTTGATTTTGTTTTTTTTTTAGGTATAGCGACTCTGTTTACTTTTTTTTTAGGCGAGTCAGCCCCCGGTATTCTTACAGATTTAACTCTTTGAGCGAGAGATAAGACTAACCGTTCCGTTAAAGCTCATCGCCTTTTCCAAAGAATTAATTTGATATAAGGTGAAAAAAGTTTTAGATTTTTGCGTCTAATGTATGAGAAAAGTGTGTGTCATTTTAAAAGATGTAAAGTTGTATTATTTTAAATGAAAGAAAAAAATAGATTATGGAGGAGAGGGAGTGGACAAAGAAAAATAAAGTGTGGGTCCCACATCTTTGTGAGAGTAAAATGAGATAAGTTGTGTTATTTAAAATGATAAATACTTTTTCTTTAATATATTAGTATATTGATTTATTAAATTTAACATTTTCAAACTCAGCTGATTTCACGAGTAGCTTGCTGGTTAAGAGGTTGTCTATAATGACCCTAACTGATAAATCTTAGTTAGAGATTTAATTTAAGGATTTAAATGCCATAATTAGATTCAGTGAGCGATTTCGAGTATTTTGACTGTAATCATGACTATGTGATGAACAGTGCGTTCTGCCGGAGAATTTACAGTTTTGTGAATTAACCGGTAGAGCTTAAAATGAGCAAAATAATTTTAGGAACATAATTTGAAAATTCTGATGACAAATATGAGTTCAGAACGAAAAATTGTATAGTCTGGCACTTTCCGTGAAAATCTCGTGAATAGTGTTTCTACCGGGTATTTTGTACTGCTGTTTAAGCAACGGTAGAGTCCAGAAATAAATAATTGATGAAATAAGAATAAGAAAGTCCAATATATGCCAAGCAAGTCAATATAGGCCCAAGAAAATGATAAGTTTATAAGTTTTAAGTTTCGTAAGTAAAGGAAGTACAATTAGTGATGCACAGTGCATTTCGTCAAAAACGGTGCAAAAACCATACTGTGAATTATGAATATTGTTCCTTAGGAAATAAAAAATTAATGTAAATGATTTTAGGAAATAAAAAATATGTTTGTAGCTTTGAGTTAGTTCCGGGTCAATTTAAGTTAAAATACGCGATAAAAAAACATCCGATGAAAATGGCCACATGTGCCTATATAGCCTTGTCACTTAAATGAAACACTATTCATTTCAGATTTTCTTCTTCTCTCTCTTGCATGGCCGAGCTGCACATGGAGGGGAAGGGGCTAGGGTTTCAAATTTTCCTTCTTTGATTTCTTCATCATCCATCCACCAAATCCAATGACCCACCACATGAAATTGATTGGAAACCACTCAATGAATCCATTCCACCTATCCATTTGAGCTATAGTTGAGTGTGTGAAGAGTTATTCCTCCTCTCATTTTCGAGTTACTATTCATTGGAGGAGAAAAAGTGAGTTTTTGGATGGAGCTTGGCTTGGAGATTGCTCTCTAGGCTTTGTACAAGTGTTTAGAGGTAAGAAACCTCTATTTCCATGATATTATTTTGATGATTTAAGTTATGAAATTGATGAGCATATTTTGTTGGGAAATAATTGATGTTAGAATGTGAAATTTATGATGGATTATTGTTGTTTAGGAAGTTATAGTGTTGAGTAAGCATCCACATGTGATATAAAAATTTAAAAGTCCTATTGCATATTCCTCCTAGGTTTCGGCCATCATGGAGTGAGTAGGAGTTATTGTGGAAAAAATTATATTATGTATTGTGAAGGTATAGTGTGTTGGAAATGAGTGAAAATGGATGAGTTAGTAAGAATGCCTAAGTAAAAAGGACTTGGTGTCTAAACTCAAAATAGGAATTTAGTGGAAGCATTCCTAGGTGTTTGCAAGTTGTAATGAAGTAACGAAAATGCATTGTAAAAGAGAAGGATCTTTGGAAATTCCCCTTGTAGGATTCGACCTATAGGGTATTTAGGGATATATTTTGTACATTTTATTTTAAATAAAATGTGTTGTAATAAATTGTATAAAGGTGATGAGTTTTGAAGAAAAATAGCATGATTTATGTTGAAAATTCCTAAGGGAATGGTTGATTAAATTAAAGAACACCAACAGTTATAAAGAGGTCTAGACTTGTGTATTGGCATAGGATTGGCAAAAATGCAAAGAAAGGAAAATAAGCAATAAAATGTATGCTTATGAAATAATTATGGTATTGCATCATTTTATTGATGCATTGTAAATTATTCTCTAGGTGTGCCTAGGGATTGAGAAGGATCGGAAATCTCTTGAAGCGATAAAAGTAACTTGTTCCACAAGTAAGCGTATTGGTAAAGCTTCAAGAGGTAAGCTCTATGTTTAAGGAGTCTTTTCCTGCTTGAGTGCTCCACCATGGTTAGTGAACTATGGTTGGACTGTATGACTGTGATTTAGATGCTTTGTATAGATGCATTCATATAGAGTTATTTGATAACATGATATGTTTTGCTCTGATATGACTTCTGTAATTTGATTTCTGTAACAATCTCTGGCCATTGATTGTATAGTACCCGGACGTCCGCTTTGGGGTCCTCCCTCGGGACTGATGGTGTACTCCTCTGATATGTCTGGTTCCGCTTTGGGGTCCTCCCTCGGGAACACGTGCGTTGATTTCCGCTTGGGGTCCTCCCTTGGGAATGACGGCGCACATCTCTGATATGATATGGATATATGCTCTGTTCTGTTATGATATCTGTTATATGTGGTATTTGTATACTCTGTATCTGAATTTCATGCAGGAGTGAGCCAGGGGTATGGAGAATTCTCTATAAACCTGGAGCTTATTGAGATTTGTAATCTCACCCCTCTTTGGGGACACATTTTCAGGGGCCCAGATTTCCGGTGAGTCCTCACTAGGCAGGGACACGACACGTGGCTGAGGCAGTTGACAGACCGGATTTTGAGTGGCTGTAGGCTACTACCTTTTTGGAGTGTTTGATGTATTTTAGTATTTTCGCATTTGATGGATCATGATATTGATCCTTTATTTTGTATATGGCCTGTATATGTTTTGTACATGTCTATCAGTTTGATGCATGTACATTTGAGTATTCAGGAACGTTATATGATGATGTAGTATTCAGATAGGTTTATGTTTTGATGGCATGCTGTTAGATTTAGTGGCACGGAGCCATGTTATGCATGCGCCCATGTATGGGTATTTGATTATATTTGGATATCTGGTATTTCTGAATTGATATGTTGTATAAACTGTTTATCAGGAAATGCTTCTGAGTGGGATTGGAAAATCCCCAGTTGTCCGATTTATAGAGGAAACTCTGCCCGATTTTCGTTTACGCCGAGTAAGAATTAAGTTAGAAAAAGAAAAAGTTAGCTCATATTTTTGTAAGTTAAGTCTTCCGCTGTTTCTGTTTGTATCATATGTATGTTAATTGAACCGGCTCGAGACGGGGATGTTACATTTATGGTATCAGAGCAGTTTCTCTAGGAGAGCCTGTGAAATATTGCATGAACTGTTCGGGTTGTTATGTTCTTGAGTTTTCTTGGAATACTATGATATGCATGTCTGATCACCGAGTGTGAGCGTAGCTAACTCATTCCTTTGTGTGAAATATGCAGAATTATGGTTCGCCCAAGAAGGACTTCTGATCCTCCTATTGACCCGACCGATCCAATATTGGCAGATTTGGCAAGACCCCGACTTAACCCGCGGGGAAATACTTCACAGCCAGATCCAATGATAATGGCCTTAACTTAGATGCAACAAAATATGGCTGCAGCTAGGCAGCGAGAGCTAGAAGTGATGATGAAAGCAAATCAAGATCTGTTAGAGGCTAATAGGTTGGCCAATCAAGAAATGATGGCAGCAAGCAGAATGGCGAATATTGAAATGATGAGATTACTCTTGGTTGAGGTGAGGGCGGGTGGGCAAGGTCCACAGCCACAGCCTTTGCAACAGCCACAGCCTGAGCCACAACCACAACAGCCTGTTCCTCCTCCTCATAATCCCATTGTTGTGGAGGGTGAAGGAAATAATGATGTGAATGAAGAATCTAGTCACAGGGGTGGTGTGGCACAGCCAGCCACTAATAGAGAGCAAAGAGAAAGAATGCTAAATGCCTTCCGAAAACATGCACCACCAAATTATAAAGGAGGCATTGATCCTATTGCTGCAATTCAGTGGTTAGAAGAATTGGATCGCATTTTTACTGTCATGGAGTGTGATGATCAGCAGAAATTGTTGTATGCTTCTTATATGTTGCAGAATGATGCAGCTGATTGGTGGAGAAATACCCGTCTGCCCTTGGAATGTCAGGGTTATGCTATTACCTGGCCTTTATTTGAAAGGCAATTCTTGCTGAAATACTTTCCGGCTGAAGCCCGGATAAGGAAGAAGGGTGAATTTGAAGAACTAAAGCAGGGTCAGATGTCTATTGATGAATACTTGAATAAGTTCAATAAGCTGGCCAAATACTCTCATTTCCAGAGAGCTCCACCTACAGAGGATGACTTGATTTTTAAATTTCATAGAGGATTACATGATAACATCTCTGAAAAACTTGCAGGTGACTCATTTGATACTTTTGCTGCACTTGTTAAAAAGTGTAAAAATATTCAAGAATATTACATAAGGAAGCATAAGGACCAATCTGCTCCTAATTCTGGTCCTAAAAACACTTCTGGGAATTCTAAAGGAAAAGGGTTGCAGGTTAGA